CCACACGTCTTAAAGTCCCCGAGGTTGAGCTGGCTGGGGAATTCTGGGAGTTGAAGTCCACACGTCTTAAAGTCCCCGAGGTTGAGCTGGCTGGGGAATTCTGGGAGTCGAAGTCCACGTGTCTTAAAGTCCCAAAGGTTGAGCTGGCTGGGGAATTCTGGGAGTTGAAGTCCACGCATCTTAAAGTCCCCGAGGTTGAGTCGGCTGGGGAATTCTGGGAATTGAAGTCCACACGTCTTAAAGTCCCCGAGGTTGACCTGGCTGGGGAATTCTGGGAGTTGAAGTCCATGCTTCTTAAAGTCCACGAGATTGAGCTGGCTGGGGAATTCTGGGAGTTGAAGTCCACGTGTCTTAAAGTCCCCGAGGTTGAGCTGGCTGGGGAATTCTGGGAATTGAAGTCCACACGTCTTAAAGTCCCCGAGGTTGAGCTGGCTGAGGAATTCTGGGAGTTGATATCCACACGTCTTAAAGTCCCTGAGGTTGAGCTGGCTGGGGAATTCTGGGAATTGAAGTCCACATGTCTGAAAGTTCCCGAGGCTGAGAAACGCTGTTTTAGGGTATATACTGCTATCAAGCAAAGACTAGGTGGTCTGAAACACAGTTGCAGAAAAGTTCTGAAGTAGTTCAGCTAGACTTGATTATTACTTTTGGTCACTTGGACCAAGAACTTTAATTCTGAAACTACCATGTGTGTCTGTAAAAATATAGCTTTTTGTCTAGGGGCGGTGAAACTAATTAGAAGGTCGTGGGTGTCATTTGAACTGACTGGACGCTGATGGAAATCAAGAGGGGGGAATTCAAACAGGTACCTATTTTAGCCCTTTGTTTGGTAGTAATTGCCTGTTTTGAATGCACCTCTCCCCCCAAAAAGCACATCTTTTTTCAAGGTTACAGAAAGTAGGAAAAGCAACGCTTTGATCAGAAAAAACATCTGTATAGCCTTTTTGGCAGCTTATAGACCTTCTCTTCTTCTCCAGCTTTGGAAGTAGTCAAGCAATCATCTCCCCTTCTAGATTACAACTGGCATCTTCTGAGAGGGGGTCAAAAAAGTCAAGATGGCAACTGCAACTGCATGGCTGAAGCCCCATGCATTTATAAAGGGGAGGGGCTTTATATGTGTGCATATAAAACAGGGGCGGGGCTTCAGGGACACCCTGCAGCTGTATTTTGACTCTTTTGACCCCGTACTACGGACATTCCTGGCTGGACGACATGAGATGCAGGTTCTTCTCTCTTTTCCCTTCTTATTTTTATTGTTCCTGCAAAGTCTACCCTGTTTTGCAAAGCAACCTGTTGTTTTTGTTTTGTTCAAAAGTTCTGTTTTCTCCCAGGGTCTTTATTCCATCATTCAGAATATGCTACCAATTTGGAAATGCATAATACTTCATCTATCACGGAAGAAAATTGCATTATAATTTAGATAAAATGACACCAGTGGCTCCACTTTCTTTTTTTCTGCAGACAGTGAACACTGCAGGCAGCTTGGCTAAATTTGATGGTAAAATTTGGGGGTTCCTGAATGTCAAAAATTGTGAATGTCAGAAGTGTCAAAATATCCTTGATTACATGTATAGTTGCACATGTGTACAGATAGTCCTCAGGTAACGATGGCAGTTGGGAGTGGAATTGCTGTCGCTAAGCGTTCTGGTTGTAAAGCAGGACGTCATGTGACTGTGCTTAGTGACAGCAATCCAGGCATCCCCATTGCCGTCATAACCCCAGGATCATGCAGGTCATTAAGCAGGAAGCACAGGTGGGTGCCACAGGCAGGCGCTAAGGCTGGTGGGGGCTGTGGGTGGGGGTGCTGTGGGCAGGTATGCACTATGGAGGGTGGGAGGGCAGGGTGTGCTATGGAGTACCAGATCCCTGGAACTTTGAACAGTCGCTGAATGAGTGGTCGTAACTTAAGGACTACCTGTATTCAGTTGAGAAGGAAATAAGCATATGGCATATAGAATGCAGAAGAAATTAATTTATGAATGTTTGTGTGAAAAATTCACATATTTATTTAATGTCTTTTTTCTTTCTAAAAATTATCAAATCACTGATATTGGACTGCAAGATAATGATGTTGATGATGATGATGATTTCCTAATAGCCAGAAAAGAAAGGGGGGGGGAGGGAAAAATAGCAAGGAAAAAAAATTGGGAGTTAAGGGTTGCCAAACCACACTAGGAAAGGCACTAGGAAAATAGGAAGCTGTGCTCAGATCAAAGTTTGCAAAAAATTACCCTGCATTTTTTCCCTGCCAATTCTCATTCTGTTTCACAAAAGTGATGGAATTTCTTGGGAAAATGCTGAGGGTTTGGTTTGGTTTTTGCAGAATTGTCTCTCCAACTGTCTGACATTTCCCTTCCATCTCAAGGGCAGGTAGAGAAGAGTGGGTTTTATTTTGGATGGCAAAGTGCGGACAGCCGGGGAGATTTTAGACCTTGCCAAGGGGTGCCACCGAAAGCACCCCGTTCCCACAATAAAGAAGTTTAAACTCACTGCTGAGCGACGCCCAGCAACTCTGCATGTCCTTGACAAGAAAACAGGAAAATCAGAAACCTCTCTTTATGAGGGCAGAAAACTTTTGAAAGTCAAATGTTGTCCACAGAGTGGTTTGGAGGCCAAGACTCTGTGTGGAAAATTACGCGTTTTGGTGGGACAAGGTTGATGATGATTTGAAGCAACAGAAGATGGAAATCAGGGCTGGTATAAATCGGTTTGAAGGTGTTAGGCACTAGCCTTTGTTTACTTGTTTACCCAAGTTCAGAGAACCAAATAGAACTTGAGACGAGGCTTCCTTGAAAGTAAATGGATATATTTTGGCCAAGACACATCTGGGTGAACCCAACCAACCTAGTGGCAATGAATGCTGATGGAATCACACCTTGCAAAAGCAAACATCAGGGATTTATAGACAGTTACAAATGTATTCAAATAGTACATTCCCCCATACCCATACAAGGGATTTTTGGGATGGTCTAGGGAGGAATAAAGGTGGGCCCTAAAGAGGTGAATCTAAGTTTAACTTTTTTCTTCTGGTT